ATATGTTTGAATTTCTCGACCAAAAATGGGAAAATGGGTTTACTCGCTTTTTTGTCGGCTGTGGTTGCACCAAACCGTTGAAAAGACTTTCTTGGTCTCTCAGTGAAAACGCATCCGGTTTAAACTTTTATTTCAAATTTCGTACAGGAATATTTAATTTTTTTTATATTGCATTTGATAGTTTCAATATCAATCGGAGAACTCAGAAAAAGAGACGGCTTCTATTGCGCCTGAAGTTTTCCCCCCTTTTGTTGATATTTCTTTGATAATGTCGGTTTGAGGAAATGGTACCTCCAGTCTACAAGCGGTAAATACGTCTTTTGACAAAAAACAACAGAGAGCTTTGACAAAAATTTGTCAATAGCTCGCAGAAATTGATGATGATTATTAGAAAGGTGACAACTCAAGGATATGCAACAGTACATTTCAACAAATTATGTAATTTTCTTAGCAAATCGTCAGTCAAACATCAGCATTCACCATTCAAACTTCGTGTAATAATGAAATCCATGGGTTATACTGGGGCCGAGGTGCTCGATTTATGTTTCGACTTTATCGACTAAAAGCCGGTATTTTTCGACCGTCTCGAACAAATTTCGATATAACTCGATATTCTCGACCAAATTGAGGTAAGTCTTGTTATTCTCGACCGAATTTCGATATGTTTCGAATTCTGGGCCAAATTTTGTTATGTTTCGACTTTTCTTGACCCAGTTCAGATATATTTACACTTTTTCGACCAAAACTCGACTGTCTCGACCCACCTTTTTTAAAAATTTATTTGTTTGACCCCGCATAGATATGTTTGAATTTCTCGACCAAAAATGGGAAAATGGGTTTACTCGCTTTTTTGTCGGCTGTGGTTGCACCAAACCGTTGAAAAGACTTTCTTGGTCTCTCAGTGAAAACGCATCCGGTTTAAACTTTTATTTCAAATTTCGTACATGAATATTTAATTTTTTTTATATTGCATTTGATAGTTCCAATATCAATCGGAGAACTCAGAAAAAGAGACGGCTTCTATTGCGCCTGAAGTTTTCCCCCCTTTTGTTGATATTTCTTTGATATTGTCGGTTTGAGGAAATGGTACCAAAATTGTCAAGAAAAACCTGATCGATCTATGTTTTGGTTGTGCTCGAACTATGTTTCAACTTTCTCGGCCAAAATCAGGTATGTTTTGGTTGTGCTCGGTCTATGTTTTGATTTTCTAGACCTTTGTTTTAATTTTCTCGACGCAATTTGGATATGTTTCGACTCTCGACCCAAATCGGGTATAATTCGACTTTGTGCTTGACTTAAAATTGCTTCACGGCCGCGGAATTTTAGTAGCAAAACTGCAGTTGCTCGATTTTCAAAGTCGAAACATAAGACGAGCACCTCGACTCGGGTAGTTACGTGGTGCATAAACTAAGACTTTTCTACACCCTCCTCTCGTTTATTTAAAAATATATTTTTTTAAAGTTGTTTTACATCGACCAAAAAACTATTTGGTATTTCCAGAATGTAGCAAAATTGTGTATTTCCAAACTGTCATTATCAAAACTTGGTGTCTCACACTTTGTAGCCCAAAAAGACATGTCCGTGACCGGCGCAACTCAGGAAAAGTGGTCCGCAATCGGTGCGGACAAAAACAATAACGGCTACCGTTACGAACGAAGACAATTTAACCGCAAAGGGCGCGACTTTTAGTTACAACTCAATTCCTTGTAGCTAGCTATGTAAAGGCTTCTGTTAGACAATTCAGCTCAAAATTTTCAGAGGTCATTGTGCTTAGTAGTCACTACAACTAGAAACCTTCACTTACAAAAATTGCTCATTGAGTTTTTTCTGGGATCATATTTTCCAAGTCCGCGACTTGGGCCCAGACTGTCGCAACTTTTTTCCACACTATTGCAACTCATCTTCAGACTAAATTGCGACTCCATTTTACAGTATACCTCCAGTCTACAAGCAGTAAATACGTCTTTTGACAAAAAAACAGAGCTTTGACAAAAGTTTGTCTATAGCTCGCAAAAATTGATGATGATTATTAGAAAGGTGACAATTCAAGGATATGCAACAGTACATTTCAACAAATTATGTATTTTTTTTTAGCAAATCGTCAGTCAAACATCACCATTCACCATTCAAACTTCGTGTATTATTGAGTAAATCCAATTGATGATTTCGAAATCACAATATAATTTGCAAAAAGCTATTTGATCCATTTAAACGGGATCCAATAACAATTCCATATCAAAAAATTTCTAACACATGTTATGTTTTGCAAGATATGTGACTTGCTTAAATTATGCACAATTTAGGTTTCAATTTATTAAATGCAATATTAATATAATTGCCTAATCGGGAGTTGTCTATCATAGTAGTTTTTTCTAGGAACCTGTCTATCATTGTGGCACCGTTTTGTTTTAAACCACAAAAAGTTGAGTTAGTTTAGCCATTACTGTTTAGCAAAAAAGTTTCGGCATTTTTTGCATCTTTTTTCAGTATTAACAGCAATAGATTTTGGAATTTTTTTTCTGTGATTACATTTAGTAACACGAAATTTGTTTCTTTGACAAGCTGTGTGAGGCGTGCAAAATTGGAAAAAAAATCAATCTTTGCTCCTGAGAAGTCACTCGACGGCCTTAACGGTTTTGACGTTCTTTCTCCCAGGTGTATTTTTGTGCATATATTCGGAAAGTAATTATACGTAGCCAACTGAAAGTTGGAAAAGAGTAATGAACGCAAAGAAACTGAAAAAAAGCGATTTTTTTTAATCTTCAATTTTTGAACTTCGAAGAAAAAAATAGATGGAATTAAAGCTCTTTGAATTTGCAGAACAAATTATGATGGACACTTTCATCTTAAAATCAACCCAATTCGAGAAAACTGGGTCAACTTTTGTTTCGCTGGGAAACCTGATAATTATTTTCCGTTTTCGAAATTAGAGGTCGATCACGTTTTTCGTCACCTTCACAATTTTGCAGTTCGGTAATGGAGTTTAACAATAGAAATGCACTAAATTTACAAACAAATCACAAGCCAAACCGCGAAAAATCAAAAATAATATGAACAAATTTGAAGGGGCTTTTTCCTGAAAAAAAAACAAAAAAAAATAAACAAGACCTATATAAAAATACTCTTAATTAACTGGGGGCCGAAAACACTCGACTAATGCAGCAAAAAGTTTCAGTTTATTTTGACCGTAGCTCAAAAAACCAAGTTAGATAAAGTGTTTTTAAAAAGGTGACACCCGGGTTCGAACCGAGGACCTCTCGATCTGCAGTCGAATGCTCTTCCACTGAGCTATATCCCCATTGTTCGGTAACGAAACATTGCAAATTTGAAAGTTTTTCCAAGGAAACTATTTAGCAAAACTGATGCAAGAGTTTGCTTACCAAAAGGAATGACAAATCGGCTTTTTTCCAGTTTTCCCCACATGTCAGTTTTTCAATTATTTTTAGTTGTTTTACGTGTTACTATGGCTGAATGCGTGATCTCACTGTGTAAGGTATGCAGAACAAATTTGTTCAGAGTAGTTAGTTTTTTAACACTGCAAAGTTTCATTACATGATGACCACGTAAAAATAAAAACTAAAATTTGAAATTCAAATGTGGGAAAGATGGAAAATAACATGATGACCAAATATGCGTGAACCGAAAGCTTTAAATCATTTTTAGACCTTTCTAGCCGCTTGGGCTCTTTTTCCACCTCCAACCACCTCACATGAGCATCAATTTTCTGGCATAAAGAGGGGTTTTACTAGATTAGATGTGAATTACAAATATGTTCCCGCACTGACAAAAATGGATTAGGATCGACTTTGGTATGAAAAAATTATGTTGAATAAAATTGGATCGATTTTATTATGAAAAAGTACGAAGATTAAATAAAAAAAATTGATTTGGATCGATTTAAAATCGATTTTAATTGATCGTAAATCCAGGCTACAAAAATTGATCCCAGTTGATTGTAAATCGACTTAAATCCATTTTTCCAGTCTTAATTCAATTTTGCTTTTAAGGGGATCAAAACGGATTTATATCGATTTAAATTGATTTTTTATTCGAGTTTCATGTTTCAAAATTTTATTGTATTTATTCATTGCTTATCATTTTTTATTTTACATCCATAGCGTATTGTAGTATAAAAAACCAAATAAAAAGATCAAAATACCGATAAAATTTTTTTATTTCCTTGAATATTTGGAGTTCAAAAACTGATCTATATGGACCCTTTTCATGATTCGTTTCATAAGTTTTGGCTCAAAATCTGATTTACATTCATAATTTTCTATGATTTCATTGCATAGTTTCGAGCTTAAAATCTGATTTATGATTATCAATTTTTTGAATTCTATAACATCTGTGTTTCAATTTTTTTTTCTGAAGAGTATGTTTTTTTGCTGTGTTAGCAAAAATATTGGTGAGTCTGAAAATCCATCCAAATCGATTTAGATCAATTTTTAAGACGCTTAAATCAGTCCAAAAGTTTCAAGAAAGATTGATTTAAATCGATTTAAAATAGATTTAAGTTAGATTCGGATGGATTTTAGTGAGTCTTTTTAGACATTTAAATCGACTTTGTAGACTTTTAAATCGACTTTGTAAAATTTTGGGCAATTTGGGACAATTAACGCGCGGTATATTTCGCGCTCTTAACCCGTAAGCGGAAATTTAATCCGTCTTAGAAATTGTTCCAAATTGGTTGAAATAGGCTTATTTGCCATAATTGATATTTACAAGGAGCGAAAACTATCCTTTTGTAGTTTATATGGCGTGTGGGGGGATGATTTTCATAAAAAATTTCAAACTTTAGGAAAAAAAATTTCATTTTATTTTAATACAATAATTTTTTTTAAATGTTATTACTGCTCCATAAACCTTAAAAATAGTCGGAACATTCAGGGCTTCGCCCTGATACCAGCAGTCTTATTTAATGTTTGTTTACGGCGCATGAAGTTTCAAGCAGGTTACAGTTGATGAAGGTAGAAGTAGATCAATAAATTCTAACTAACCCGTGTATTTCTAGGGGTCACGGCAAAATCTCCAGGCTCACAAAGCCAGTTGCATCCCGATATAGTGGAGAGGAGCTGAAAAATTTCATGTGAAGAACTTTGAGATTACCAAAAAAAACATAATATTTTTTCCTATAAGAACCTCATATCCAATATAAGCGTTAATCCCAATCATTAAGATGTTGTAAGCCTGCATAATGGGTTTGATGTGCATCTCTTTCCGCGACTGCATCCATCGAGGTCCATAGAAACACATGTACAAATAGGCCACTACACAAAAGGCTATAGACCTCACGTCTCCTAGCAGGAAAAAATCCTTGCTCAATTCACCTGAAATTGAAAATTTTTTTAAATCCCAAGAAACAAAAAAAAACGTTCTACTTATGAAAAACGTTTCCAGAAAAGTTTTAGCAAAACTAGCGCCTTTAAGACTTACTGCGATGATTTAGCGTGAAGTTGTGCGCTGCTCCTATCAAATTCATAATTGGTTGTGCTGTCCTGAGTTTTGAAGTATTGCTTGGTATATCGCGGCTAAAGATTATTCCACCAAATGAAGTAGAGTGATGTTTTCTACACTTAGGATGCTGAAAAAAATGAGTTTTAACATTTCACAGTCTAATAACAAGAATAATATAAAAAAACTCACTTAAGCCACTTTTCTCTGCATTTTCCGTTCAATTGGAAAGTGTATTTGTAAAGCCAATTAACTACGCTGGTAAGTTAGAAATATTGGCTTTTAGCCGCTTGTGTTTCAGCAAACAAAAAAGCACGAGCTGAAATTGCTGAAACCGTTTAACTGAAGAATTCTCGCAGGCATGAAGAAAAACATTTACAGTGTGAATAAACAAGCAAATAATTCGCTATAAAGATGGTTCGTTTGAGTCAATCCGGCATTTTTATTGCTTGATTGAACAATTTAAGTGCATTAGTTGAGGATACAATATCATACATCTTTCAAAGTGCAACGAAAAAGAAACATTAAAAAAACGCTAGTTTAATTTACATAGGTTAAGATATTTTCTCAAAAGAAACCCCAAATTGGTTAATAAATTGATTTCAAAACGACAAAAAAATTAAAACTGGATTTATCAGCTGAAAAAAATGCATCAGCTAAACCTGTGAAATTTAAATGAGAACAGTTTTTGTTCCGACTTTCGATACGAAAGTAACGGAATATTTGTGCTCGGGGTGGATTTTTTTTCTTCAGACAAATTTCGACTTTTAATTAGCCATTTTTGGCAGATTTTTTTATCATTCAAAAGGTATTGTTGTCCTGAGCTTAAATTTGAAAGGATATTTCACCTGTGATCATTTTTCGTAAAGTTATGAGGGTTTAAAGATAGCCATTTTGGCCATTTTGACCAATTTGCGACAAATAACGCGCGATATATTTTGCGCTATTAACGTGTCAGCGGAGATTTAATCCGTCTTAGAAATCGTTCCAAATTGGTTGAAAGAAGCTTATTTGCCAGAATTCATTTGTTACAAGGACCCAAATTATCCTTTTCTACTTTATATGGCGTGTGTGGGGATGATTTTCATAAAAAATTTCAAATTTTAGAAAATTTTTTTTTTAATTTTCTTTACTTATTACATTTAATTTTTACAGGTTATTACTGCTTCATATACCTTAAAAGGCAGTCGGAACATTCAGGGCTTTGCCCTGATACGAGCAGTCGTTTTTTGTTTTTGTTTCTACCATAAGTGGGTGACATTTTGTCACTTTCTTAGTCCAAGTGGTTTTTTAATTTTCAACTATTATTTCTGAGGAAACAAATTTCACGACCCTGCGAAAGTAAGGCAACAAAGTTTTTTCTCAAATTTCATATAATGGTAATTTTGATTGAACCATTCTTTGACTCTTACACAGCATTTGGCTAATCATGCTTCAAAATACAAAAGTTATGGCTGCTGTTGCATTAGTTGTTTTTGCTCTCGCAAACTTGAACTAATTTACCAATTTTTTTTCCTAAAATTTTTTTTCCACCATATAATAACAGTAAAAAAAATTCCCGCTTATGAACAAAAATTATGAAATTGAAGAAACAAAATTATACTCCAAAACCTCATTATATAAATGCTCCGTAGTTAAGGCGTACATCTAACTTGAACGAACTCGATCTGAGCTAAAAAGAATGTTTCACAGGAAAAAAAATTCAATGGCGTGAAGACAAACTTTTATTGATTACAAAGCAGTGGTATACACTTTTTGTAGTGCCATTGTTGAGTAATTAATTGTCCCGAATCATTTGGAAAAAATAGTTACTCAAAAACGGCACTGTGAATAGTGTATATCCTTGCGTGAAGAATCAAATCTTAAAATTTCCGCAGCCTTTATCAAAATTATTTTGATAAAGGCGGCGGAATATTTAAGCTCGGCGTTTTCTTTCTAGAAACAAATTTTGACTTTAAAACTAGTCTTTTGACTGAAAATTTTAAATCTCAACTTTTTCGAAAAAAAAAGAGCATATAAAATCATAGAATCACTCAAAGACCGAGATAAGTATTTACAAACATGGTATGCAGATGATTCGGGAGCTCTCGGCGCACTAGAAAACCTGGTTGAATGGTTGTCATCTTTGACTGAAAACGGCCCGAAGTATGGCTATTACCCCGAGCCAAGCAAAAGTTATTTGGTTGTTCACCCGAACTTTGTTGAAAAAGCTCATCAATTGTTTGACAGGTTCGGCATCAGAATAGTTGAAGGTAGAAGATATTTGGGCGGATTTATTGGCTCTGATGAAGGCAAAATTCGTTTCACTTTAAAAAAGGTCCAAGAATGGTTGGATTGTCTTGGCGAGTTGTCCAAAGTGGCAGAAAAAGAACCTCAAGCTGCTTTAGTTGGATTAACAAGATCACTGCAATGCGAATGGAACTTTGTCCAGAGAGTAGTCAAAGATACGTCGCAGTTGTTTGCTCCTCTCGAGAAGATCTTGGAGGAAAAATTTTTGCCAAGCTTACTAGGAATTTCTAGTGTCACACACTCAGATCGTGTTTTGTATTCACTTCCTGTCAAAAGAGGGGGACTAGGTGTGCGAAATCCAATAGAAGGTGCCGAACTACCATTTTCCACTTCACGTGAAGCAACCGACTGTCTCGTGAGTTCGATCCTTCTCCAAGATGATTTCGACCAAACTCTACACAAAACAAAGATGAGAGAAGCAAGAAAAAACCACGAGGAGAAACAAAATGATGTGGACAAAGATAAACTCGATGAATTGCCTGCAGTTTTACCAGCAGATCAGAAACGATTGATCCGGAGAATAATCGACAACAACTGTTCCTTGTGGCTAACTTCGCTGCCCTTGTTGAAAGATAATTTTGATTTGTCAGCCACAGAGTTCAGAGACGCTCTATGTGTCAGGTACAGAAAACCACTCAAACGTTCTTTCTCGAGATGCGATGGATGTCAACAAGATTTTGACTTACAGCATGCACTTTCTTGCAAGAAGGGCGGACTGGTAACACTACGACACAACGAAATAAGAGACGCAGTGGGCGATCTTGCTTCAATTTTGTGGAAGGATGTGAAAAGAGAACCTTTCGTACAAGAACCAGATGTAGAAAATGGAACCCCGGCACTAATTGCAGATCTTTCAGCTCGTGGGGTTTGGGATAGACAGTCGGCTGCGTCGTTCGACATCCGTGTTACAGACACTGACGCTCCGTCTTACCAAAACCGCAACCCCATGAATGTACTGAAAACTGCAGAGATTGAGAAGAAAAATAAGTATGGACCAGCTTGTGAAGAAAAGCACATGTCGTTCACTCCACTTGTCACTTCAATAGATGGTGTTTTGGCACCAGAGTTCACATTTTTCCTCAAACGACTAGCAGATGGTCTGGCATCAAAATGGGACCGCCCATATAGTCGTGTCATGTTGCTGGGTGAGATGTAGAATTTCATTCGCTATTCTAAGGGCAACCAACATTTGCATCAGAGGCACAAGATCCAAATGGCGATCCCTCGGCGTTGAGGACGGTTACACAATTGGAATGGCATTCTAAATATTCACACGCTGTTAACTGGGGCTTTCATCGCGCATAACTGACTCCTATGATATTAGAAATTCGACACCACTTGCATATTATTTCGAAGAATATGAGATGTTTGAAGATAAAAACACAGGATGACAACTGTGAACAAGCAACGAAAACCTTTTCCTTGCACCATTCGAAACCAATTTATCTTGATTTTAAGTAATTTCATTGCGGACAAGCAAATGTATTATAAACGCAATCACCATAAATTCAGTGAGCTAGTATTTCACATGTGGTTATGTTTGTCAACTTATGGAAACTTTTCGTGCTATTAAAGGCTAAATGGCAACCTAATCTGGCTCATAAATTGTTCCAAATTGAGTTGAGGCGAGCCACTTGTTCTGGGTAACAAATTTCTGGACGCTTACAACACTTTATACTACACACAAGTACTGAATGTTCGACTGTCCCTTAATTCCAATCGAATAGTTTTTGGGAAAGAAAAAGTTGAAAAACTATAAATGTTGGACAATATCAAAGTGTGAAATGTTGAGCCGTACGAAATTAATATGACCAATTAGCTAGCCTCAATTCAATTTGGAACGGTTTAGTTGTGCGGGATAACTCGCCACGCATAAATAATTTGCGTTACGCTATCAGCAATATAAATTAATTCTTCAAAGCGCGCATGATTTAGTACAGAACATGGCCAATTTGGAAATTTTCAATCTCCCAGAACTTTAAAAAAAATAATCGGAGTTAAAATATCTTTTTAAATTTGAACTCAGAAATTCAATATCTTCAATGATGAATAAAATTTTTTATTGAAAACTGTTATTTCAGTCGGCAAAATCTGACTGAATAAAAAACACACCGAACATAAAAATTCGGTTTTCTTCGAAAGTCGGAACAATAATGTCTGGGATATGGCAAAGAAAATCCTAACCATGTTTTCCCTCATCTTTTTTCAAAGCGTCATCAATATTTTATTAAATTGAAAGTTTTTTAATTGACGTTGAAGGGCAGTCGGACGAATCAAAGCTTCACCCACATACGAGCAGTTTTATTCGAGTTCAAATTAAATGGCTATCTATCAAATAGGAAGACAGAATAAACAAAAACGTTCTGACTGTTTCTACTCAAAATCAAGAACCCTTTTTCGACTTTTTCTGTTCCAGCAGATATCTATGCCTTTGAAAAAATCAAAACTTCTCTTAAAAAATCATAATAAAATTTTTATTTTTTGAGCTACGTCTGAAAAATTTGCTACCAAATATAAAAACCAAAAAAATCTTTCTTTTCCGCTTTTTTTCGAGGATTGCACTTGATCATAATGAACAAAAAAAATTGTTCTTTTTATTACAAAGTGACCATACCTTAATTTTTTAATCCTCTTGTTTTCACCAGAGTGAAAGTGAACTTTTCAATTGCATGTTTTTTCAAGTTTAAATATGTTCGTGTGATAAACCAAGGTCAAACACATTTTGTAATGATCTGAATAGCAATAAAAAATCTCTAAGTGTCATTTAAATGTTGAAAAATTACTGAAAAAACAACAGTCAGAGCGCATTTTTCTTTTCGAGCATTAATTTATCTAAAAAAACGTAATTCTCGAAGCTTATCTTCAGCCCTTCCTCTCAAAAAATAACAGAGTTCTGATATACATTTTTAAATCTATTATTTTCTGTTATTGTACCGACCACATTAGAAAGTGGAAGTGAACTTGGCACAGGGTCTTTTTTCACAGTCAATTCGGACTACCTCGAAGAAAACAACTGATTATCACCTTGAAAACAATTCAGCAATAACTCGGATTCTAATTAAAGTATTCGAAACTGGTCCAAAAAACTGACGGTCAGATTAAGTAAGTCTTCCACTTCAACTTTTTCTTTCTCAATTTTTCTTTGATTTTATTTAACCAACTCGTTAAGTTCTCAAAACCTCCTCATCCGCTCTCTCCGTAAAACTCAAAACAAGTTAAAACCTTTTCTTGACAAATTTTGACTTTTAAACTAGCCAATTTTGTTACTTTTTTTGAAATATCATTCGAAAAGTATTGTTGCCTTGAGTTCGTAACTAAAAATATAATTCTCAAAACATGTTTTCTCTCTAGACAAATTTCGGTTTTAAACGAATCAGTTTTTTTTGAAAAATCATTCAAAAGGTATTGTTGCTTTGAGCTCAAAATTAAAAACATATTTTCTCTGTGATCTTTTTTTGCGCAGTTATGGGTTTTTTTTAAGATGTGTGAGCGGAGATCTTATTCGTCTGAGAAATTATTCAAATTGAAATGAGGCATGCTTTTTGGTCTTATAAAAACTTTGATTTATGCAAATGTATCACTTTATAATTTTTTTCTTCGTTTTTTGAAGCAAAAATAGTCCATAATTGTCAAAAAGCAGTTAAAACATTCAGGACTTTGTCTGATACAAGCGGTTCTGTTTAAAATTGGTCAGAAATTTCTAAAATAGCAAATTGTTGATTGATTGTCTTTCAATATTCAACAAGACTGCTGGTATCAGAGCAAAGCTCTCAATGCTCCGACTGTCCCTTAATTGACCTCTAATAGTTTTCGGTCAATGAAATATCGAAAAAACTATGAGTTTTAGGCTGATAAAATCAAATTTTCAAGTATTAATTTCTAGTCGTGTATGGAATAAATAAGACTAATTAGCTTGCCTCAATTCTATTTGGAATAATTTTTGTGGAATAATTTTTTCAGCAATAAAGTATATAACGAGCAGTTTAGAATTGACTCGTTCCAGAGGGAACGGAAAACCTGATTAGTATATTCGTGAATGCGAACCTATCTCGAAAAACCCTACCTATCGATCAACCCCCAGCGCAAAATCTCTTTTCAAATTTGGTCTGAACAAATAAACAACCCCGAGTTTATATATTCCTTATTGTCTTTGAAAAACCGAACAATAACTCTGGAATGGAAAAGTTCAATTCGTTTGTTTCAATACCAATTGAAAAGAAACCTCAAACTCATATCAGTGTTTTTTTCCGAACTCCTCTGAACTATGGAATTCAGAAAAAGCAGCTTAAAAATGAACAAAACTGCTTGTATCAGGGCAAAGCCCTGAATTTTCCCACTGCCTTTTAAATTTTATGGAGCAGTAATAATGTAGATAACAATAACAAGTTCAATGTAATAAAAAAAACGAAAACTGAAATTTTGTATTATTTCTTTATTAAAAAAATCTATCAAATTGTCTCCGTGTTTATGAAATATGTTCTGATTTTTTGAGACCAATTAAGAGCTTAAAGCTCTTTGAATATTCAAAACATGCTCGATCAGGAACCAATAGCAGATTGCTTGATAGAAAAATCTGTTCTGAAGCATTGATATGCTCATCATTTGTACTATAAGTATCAAATCGTTTCATGAACATCAGCTGATACGAGGCTTTACACTTTCCCTATGGTAGCTAGTATCGAATCTCTCTACAATGAAGGAATATTTTAACGTTTAATTATTTATCAATAACAAGACTGCTTGTATCAACGCAAAGCCCTGATTGTTCCGACTGGCTTTTAAGGTTTATGAAGCAGTAATAACATAAACATCATTGAGAAATTTAAAAAAAAGAAAAAATGAAAAAAAATTCAAAAATTTGAAAAGTTTTCAGTGAAAATCATCCCCCCCACACGCCATATAAACTACAAAAGAAAAGATTTTGCTCCTTGTAACAAATCAATTATGGTAAATAAGCTTCTTTCAACCAATTTGGAACAATTTCTAAGACGGATTAAATCTCTGCTTACGCGTTAATATCGCGAAGCATATCGCGCGTTAATTGTCCCAAATTGGCCAAAATGGCAATCGTTAAACCCCCATAACTTTACGAAAAATGATCGCAGGTGACTTTTTTTCAAATTTAAGCTCAGGGCAACAATTCTTTTCGGAAAAATACCCAACAAGAAAACAAAACAAATAACGACAAATAGCAGGCCAGATTAATTTCTAACAATTCAAACTTCAAATACTATAAAAAAAATTAACAAAACAAGAACGGCCGGTTGCTGCACAAAAAACACAGAGTCTCAATAACTCGGCTATTTTTGCAATATTATGATCTAAAACAAAATGCTGGTAGCTGCGCAAAGAGCACAGAAGTTTAAGGCCACAGAGCAAAAATTGACAAAAAAAAACTTTTTTTCAGACTTGTTTAATTTTTTGCTCTTATTTTGCTGCCTTTTTGGCATGTGGCAGTTAGACTGAACGCTAGCTTAGAAGCAAGTATCAATGGCTTGATCAAACCATATAGGAAAAATGAACTAATTTAGCTTAAATTGAATCAATACAAGGGTAATTTTTCACTGTTATATCAAAACTCAAAAAAAAAATTCAAACTTTTTCGGACACCAAAGCAATCGTTTGAGAGATTTTATTTTTTTGGTCGAATTCAAAATGAAATAGCTTTATTATGACTTATCTATCCATCCCATCTGATGTTTGTTTGTGGTTTTTAATTTTAAGTGAATCAAATTTGGGACGGATACACTCCCGAATACAACGCTCATCTTCACTTTCACTGGTCCAAACAATAAACTTTGGAAAAGCCATTATTAGATTTCCAAAAATTCCAAGAAAAAAGTTGTAGAGCAAAGACATCTTTTGAAATTCAATTGCTCAATTGCCATCTATAAGGTGGTTTTGATATTATACTCAGCACAATTTAAAAAAGGTCTCTCTGTAGAATATTCGAACTATTGGTTCATTTAATTGTTTCCTTTCTTCCTCAAAGGGTCTGTGCAAAAAAAGCGCGTCAATTTTTACTGAATATTATACAAATGAGATGCATGTTCAGAAAACTAACCTGAAATTTTCCACTCAGATGGAAAATTAGGGACAAAGATGAACCCAAAGTAACAACAACGGACCTCTATTACTAAAGTAAACAGCGATAAGAGCGCAGCGGGATTAACTTGGTATGATCAAGTAAAGCTTCAGCTAGCTTATGAGATCGAACTGAACAGCAGTCTTACCAAGTTAGGTACAGTTGATTACTCGAACGATAAGAGACCTTGGCTCATCAAAGTGATCAAAATGACCACCACTCTTATTTGCCCTCAGAGAGTGAATTCTGTTCTTTATATTGAACTTGACATTGGATAATCGAAAAGCAGCTTACCGAAGTGAGGCGTATGGAAAGAAAGGTCAGTCTAGGTTCAAAGATTTGCCAATTCAAGTCACGCAAAACAATCGAGCCAAATATAATGAATCCCAAAGCTTATATACGTAATTTTATCTTAATTTTATAGCTCAAACAGAATACAAGATAAATCTCGTTTTGTGTTAGAAACGTCTCATTTAAAATCACTTTAATTTATTGAAGTATCTAAAAATGCGTGTGCGTCATTGATCAAAAACGCGCAATGGAAACGTGTGAGAACAAAACAGTTTTACAAAATATATGCATTTTAAGCTGAACAATGTTTTTGTATAAATAAAATCTGGATTCAAAACAAAAGAAAAATCTAATGTTCCTTTTATTTTTTTCACAAAGGTTGATCCAATAAAATAAACAAGAACAGTCAATCCTTGTGCTCAATTTCCTGCCTGAAAAAACTAACGAGGCCAAAAAACAGCGTCATATGTTTCTCCTACGTCACAGAATTTATAAAAGTTTCATAATGCATTTCAAAGGAAGTCTCTGAGATCTGCATGACATTTGAACATTTAATTTGCGATTTGCTTGATCAGAAAAAAGGCCAGAAAACCATTTTCGGAAACTAGAACCAACTGAAATGGTCTTAATCTAAGTTTCATAAGTTCCGGAAAAAATCAAAAACAATTTTCGGAAAAGCACGCAGCAATTTTTTTTTCATGAGAATTGTCTCAAGCTTCATTCACATCCAGGCGCGGAACAAGGAATAAGGATTAGTTCGATTGGGTAGAGAATTTAAACAGAAATTTGTCAACTGTTGTTTTTTTTTCTATGCCAATCAAATTGTTTTTCTGATTGCTCTACGAACACAAATTGAACAAGACTGCTCGTATCAGGGCGAAGCCCTGAATGTTCTGTCTGCCTTTTAAGGTTTTATGGAGCAGTAATAACATTAAAAAATTAAATGTAACAAAATTAAAAAAAAAAGAAATATATCGCGCGTTAATTGTCCCAAATTGACCAAAATGGCAATCTTTAAACCCCCATAACTTTGCAAAAAATGATCACAGGTAAAATATTTTTCAAATTTGAGCTCAGGACAACAAAACTTTTTGAATGATATTTAAAAATTCCGTCAAAAATGGCTAGTTAAAAAGTAGATATTTGTCTGATGAAAAAAAAATCCACCCCGAGCACAAATATTCCGTTACTTTCGTATCGAAAGTCGGAAAAATAACGTTAGTTGCTAAAACTGCTTGAGCCTCGGTCGAGTTTTTCAAAAAACTGCCCGCAATTGCGCACACTCTTCTCAAGTTCAATGAATTTCAGCGCTAAAAGGCCCTCTACAAAAATTTATGGGCTGGTCGGTCAAAAAAGTATGTCTTAAAGTAGAAAAAAATATATGACTTTTGAGTGGTGAGAAGATCGAATCCCTAAGGAACATAACCTCCGGCAAAAAAAAACATTTTTATAGCTAAGAGGAACACGAGGCACGGGTTGAGGAATTCCTATATTCGCTACTACCGACACGCTATATATAGTACAAAATCTTATAAATTGCATCCAATAAAAACCAATAAGACCAAAGAGCGTGCCTGAGTTAGGTTCAGTATGATTTCTGAGCCAAATTAATTAATCACTCAGGCGTCATCTACTGAAATACATCACCATTTCAACTTTATTTTATTTTAAGCGACAATAATATGACAGTATTATAACATTTTTTCTCGAAAACTCTCGAAAATTGGAAAAGAACTACAACAAAGGGTCCATTTTTTCATGTCAGTTTTGACTAGCTTGAGCAACTATTACTAGGCCAAACTGTGTTTTTTTTGTAAAACTTAAGAAAAATCGACAACACGCTGAAAACAGATTTGTAGCGGAATCCGCCAGACGGCTTTTTTTCTTTGAGTTTTTTACTGCCTTTGATTCCACGAACAAATAGTTAAATCACTGTGTTGCTCAAAAACGTTTCAAAAACAGCCAACTTTGTGGAATGCAGAACAAAATCTGCGGAATCCAGAGTATCTCGGGAAAGAAAATTGTTATAATACTGTCATAATGTCACTCAAAATAAACTTAAAGTTGAAACCGCGATGTATTCCCTTATTTGACGCCTAAGTGATGAATTATTTGGCTCAGAAATTATACTGAACCTAATAAAGGCACGCTATTTGGTCTAATTGGATTTTACTGGAAACAATTTATAAGATTTTGTGCTTTACATACTGTGTGGGTTGTAGCGAACTTAGGAATTCCTCAACCCGTGCCTCATGTTCCTCTTAGCTATAATAAAATCCTTTCCAAAAATGTTTTTTTTTTGCCGGAGATTATGTTCCTTAGGGATTCGATCTTCTCACCACTCAAAAGTCATATTTTTTTTTCTACTTTATGACATACATTTTTGACCAACCAGCTCTTAAATTTTTGTAGAGGGCCTTTTGGCGCTGAAATTCATTGAATTTGAGAAGAGTGTGCGCAATTTCGGGCAGTTTTTTGAAAAACTCGACCGAGACTCAAGCAGTTTTAGCAACTAACGGTATTCAATTTGTGTTCGTAGAGCAATCAAAAGAACAACTTGATCGACAGGAAAAAAGACAACAGTTGATGAATTTCTGTTTAAATGCTCTTCCCAATCGAACTAATTCTTGTTCCGCGCCTGGACATGAATGAAGCATGAGACATTTCGCATGAAAAAAAATGCTACGTACTTTTCCGTTAAAAAACGTTTAGAGTAATGTTTCAAGAAAAATTGGATAAATATCATCAATTTTCAGACCAAATAAGGCAAAAATTGCTGGCCTGACAACCTTAATTTGACAAAAACATTTAGGCTATTTCGTAGCGTTTTCAAAAACTATTGGTATTTCTTTCTCCTGGTTTCATCTAACTCACTCATTTTTTCTAGAAAACAAATACTGGAAACTTACAACAAAAATTGAGAAAATTAATTCAAATTTTTTCTAAAATTAACTTTTTTTGATTTGTTTCAATAGATTTTTCAAAACAATTTCGCTAGTTGAGCAGCAACCCGCTGGTTTTGTTACTATATTGTCGTCCAGAAAAGAAAAATTCTACCAGATTGTTTATATTTCTATTTCAATTTTGTCATTATTCTTCACAAAAAAAATAATCACACACATTGAAAGTGTTTACTGATAAGTTCTATTTGTTGATTACTGAATATTTTATCGTACCACATATTTAAATGGATAAAAAACAATTCCACAGATCATCTTTTAGTTTAAATTGACTTGAGCGCTCGTAGACCTGTGGTCCAAAATAAATCTAGGTTTGCGTCAATGTCGACGCTGCAAAAGTTTTTTTACAAAAATTATTAACCAAAATGGATGAAAATGCCGGAAAAACTATAAACTGACATTCAATCCTTATTCTAGGAGCAAATTCATCAATTTAGCAAATGTATGTGCTTAAAGGCCCCCAATTAATACTTAAAATAATTTTATTAGAACTTCATTCATCAAACTGTTAATTGATTTTTTATGCTCGCTTTTAATTAAATTGCGAGGTCTTAATTCAAAATTTTTTTTACTTGTAAGTATTAATTTTCACATGCTTTAAGTTGCGCAATGAGGTCAGCGTTTTCATTTCTATAATATAGTTTGAAAATAGTGTTGCATGAACAAAACTAGTTGATCTGCAGCGTGCGTTCAGGCGGCATGAAAAAATTCTTTATATCCACGCTTGCAAATGAGCTGTAGAGATACTTTAAAAACATGCTTTTAAGTGAGAAAACAATTGATTTCGCATGCGATAAACAAGTGAAAAATAATTATGAACATAGAAATTTTGCGTTGACTAAGCATGTTCGCAAGTTTTTTTCAGGCACTTGGGACATTTATTCCTTATCCTCTGGCCTGGCGGCTCTCTGATAGTGAATTAATTCCCTCGTGCATAAAAAAACGGCTACTGTACTTTCTTGTATAGCCAATTGATCTTCTGTAATCCACCAGATGAAATTAAAAGCTTAAACTTTTTTTTCGTAAAATGCCTAATTTCACGGAAAACAAATACTACAAGTTTCAACATAGATTTTATATCAACCGCGATGAAATGAGCTCCGCTACCCCAATGGAAGTATCGTTGCCTGGTTTAAAGCACTTACGACCTTTTTCCGGGCAGTGAACAACTTTTCGAATATGCCGAGTATGAAACGTTGATCATGCAATGTGAAACATTTAGATTAAGAAGTTGAGTTGTTTATTGTGACAGCGTTCCTAATTTAGGTTCTGTCTTATAAATTCAGGCCATAAGAAAAATTTATCAGATGCTGACAACTGGCGCTTTCAGACCTGGAAAAAACTCGAGCTCATTAAATCAGTTAATGATACACATTGTGAATTTTTCACTGTTATTGTTACCCAAAATGGTACTTGAAATAAAACGTTTTAGAAAGTAAAAATCTAAATTTACGCTTACTTTTTCCACCAGGATATGAGAGCTCAAGTTTACTTCCTTCCAGCAAGTGAATTTGAATTGCATTTAGAAAAAAATGAAGTAGTACCTTTTAAATCAAATTGGAGCATGAATAAAAAACGACCAAGATAAGTGTACATTTCGTTCATGGATACTTGAAAAACAGTTCAATGAAGCACATCTAATCTTTTTTCAAATTTAATTAATTTTCTCAATGAATATTTGAATTGGCCTTTTATGAACCTATGTAACAATTTATTTATTTGTTTCTCATGACCAGGGGCGGATTTAGGAGGAGAGGGGATGCCCCCGCAGGGATTCGACCCCCTGCCGGTCCACCCAAAGGGTCCCCCTTTGTACTATTTTGAAATATCCATATTTTGGGCTGTTTTTTCAATATTTTTCATGAGGCGCAGAAAACTTGGCCAAAACAGGGACTTTTTAGTGCTTTGTGAGAGCTTGAAAAATCAATTTGCTCAATCTAAAAAAAAGGTCCGCCACCCTCGAGATAATCCTAGATCCACCCCTGTTCATTACTAAGACAAACTGAGAAAAAGTCAATTCAAAAATAAATCTTTTTACACTAAAACATTTAGTCGCATTAGTCTAGATAAGCATTTGGGAAAATATTAGATAATAAACACGCCTTATAAATCCTGAGGAATGGCAGCCCATGGAAACTATTATTCGCTCTTTTAAGTCTGTGAAAATTGAATTCTTCAAGTTTGAGACGTCAGTTAGGGCTAACGAACAACACAGTCTGGAGCTTGACTGAGTTTACTTGACTTGAAAAAACCAAAATACAAATTCAAGATAGCACAAACTTGAGAAAACAAGTAAGTGAGCGCCAGGGTTCATCTGACAAACCGAACAAAATATATTTTTTTTCCTCTAACATATTGATAATAATGAAAAAATAAATTCACATTTAGTAGCACACATTATGATGCAAAAAATTGCGCGTAAATCCCTTGTTATTATACATACATCAATTCGTCTCCAAAAATGAGGGTAATTTTGATATCAATGACAGTTGAGGAAGCTTTAAGTCAAATCCACTGAAATTCTGAGATCAATCGTCGAGCATCAAGTTTCTATCAGATTTTTATGAATCAACCGCCACACAACTACAGCGATTGTGTAGTCTTTTGTATTTTATATCTTAAAGCAGCGTTTAAGACAAACCAGTCTTATAAAAAGTAAGAGAATTTGTTAAAATTTGATTAGGAAATTTTATATTACAATTTGCAAAGCAAGCAAAATTGGGCAGATGATCATTTTCTAGAACTAGGTGTCAAAACCAATATCTCAAAATCAAGTGGCAATTTTTCAGCCGTTAAAAATTGTATCTCAATTTTTAACTCAACTGCCCAATTCATCATTATTTATATTTATAATATTTCATTAACCAATACTTCAGTTTCGCTCACCACTACATTTGCAATTAGTTCTTGCTTTAGACTCTTCCCTCAACCTTGTGCGCACATTCCTTCCCATAGCATTGATTCTTTGAAGTTGAACGCTTTCTTTGGGTCCTTTGCCACTTCTGCCGTTTTCTGCAATCCCGAAAGCAACTTTCGATTCGCGTCTATGAACGGGTGCATGTAATACGGTTTTCCGTGCTCAGCGCAGAACTTCAGCAGTCTAGCTTGCAGTTTTCGTAAGTTGTGTCTGGGAATTCTTGGAAACAGATGATGTGCTGTCTGGAACTGGAGTCCACCGTGGAACCAGTCTAGCCACTCTGGACAGTCTATGTCCATTGTAGTGGCGATTTGAGTGTCGAAAAACCCGTGCGTTTCTTCTCCATACTGGACCTAATCAAGCAAAGGCTGTTCTTTTATACCGATCAAAAGTTTTTCCCATTTTTTGGCTCCTTAGCCACGATGAGCACCAAAGAAATTAGTAGATTATAATACCACAGAGCTCAAAAAATGACAGCCTCCTTGCATAGTTTCACTGGAATATAAAAAAAATCAGAAATTAAAAAAAAAAATGTACAAGAGCAGTACAGCATGAAAAGAGCAGTACAGCGCTTATGTTGGTCCTTTACCTCGTGAACAAATGATATTAAATCTTTAATTTAACTTCAAAAAGCACACCAAAAGGAAAAAATCAACACCACAAAACAAAGTTATCTTAGATTCAGCCTTAAAAATACATGGAACATGAAACATCTAAAATATTGAACTCAAAATTAGTCAATGTTTACTATCACAATCCTTGAAACGGTTGCATGCTTTCTGTGCAGTACAAAAACGCATAACTCTCCTTTTTAAGCGTTTATCAAAGCCGTCACGTTTCTATGTTATGTATAGCATGAATTATTGAAAGTAGCATTGGTATACAGTTTCCAAAACTAATGTTACGTATCTACGACCGTGACGTAAATTAGCTTCAAACCATTTTGGCAAATTGTTTATTTAAACGGCATTAAAAGTAAAATTGGGACATGGCACATGAACAGTTGGTTCGCAGCTGTTTGCGCATCGAACAGAAAAAAGCTACTCTGTCATAAAACAAGAATTTGATGAACAAGAAAACTCTATTACTTCATAAAACATACAACACACATTTGATGAACGAAAATTAGATTCCAAGAATCAAATGATGTAATCTCTTCTTAGTGATTAATTGATTGCTCAGAAAAGAAACAAATTATTATATGAAATTGCAATAATCTCGCTTAAGTTTTGTCGGCCATTCTTTTTATAGTAAGAAGGCGAAATAATCACGCTCGGTGAATTATCATTAAAGCGTGTCGCTACGTTTCATATTCATCAATCCTGAAGTTTTGTGCAATACTTCTTTACATATGGATAAATGGTTGCGTATGGATAACTTATTTTGGATGTATTAAACTGAATAAAAAAATGACTACCTCTCCATACGTCTGCATGGGAAAGTGCGACAAACATATCTGCACATGTAGAAGTCCAGCTACCGCATGACTTAAAATAAGACATGCAAATCCAACTGATGCTGATGAGCACTGGTAGTGAAGAGCTATGAGCCATGTCCAGAACAGCAAAGTAGTCACTGCTTCAGTTTTCCGCCACTCACACCTCTGAAACAAGCAAATGCTAAAAATCGCGTGACTGTCATCCAAATATAAACAAAGATATTAGCTCACACAATCATCTATAGTTAAAGTTATCATCTATAGTTGAACCTTTAGTTGAAGCTTGAAATGTTTCGCAAATTTTAGAACTCCTATCAACCATAAACTCTATTAGCAACCAAAAAGGATCACAGGTTTTGGTGATCACAGCCATAATAATCAGAACAAAGCCAACAGAAAGAGTCAATGACCGCAAGTTATCCCATTTATTACATAAATAAATCATTTAATTATTTACATAATTAATGGTGAAATATATATCACGACATATTTGAGAGAAGTCATTATCGGCATATTTAAAAAGTCATCAGGAAAGAGTCAATTAACGCAAGTAAACAGAAAACTAACTGACTTTCGAATTTCAAAGAAAAAATAGATGCCCTTAAAGCTCTTTGAAATTCATGAACAAATTATGATTGCGCTTTTTTAAAGAAAATAACCGAATTTGAGAACACTGGATCAACTGGATTTAAATTTCTAAGAAATCTGAAAATCAAATTCCTTTTGAAACAGGAAATCAACCACGTTTTTTCCGACCTTCACATGTTTGCTGTTTGATAGTGAAGTTTGCCCTCATTATACCAATAGAAATGAACTGAACTTCTAAAAATCAAATTTAAGCGTGAGCAAATTTTAAGGCATTCCTGCAAAGAAAAACATCACGATCTACACAAGTGTACTATTTGCGCTCATTGACAACTAATAATTTGTAAAAATTTAGATTCACAACTCTTCAAAACAAAATTACGCTAAAAAATAAATGACACGCTAACAATTACGCAGGATCATCTGGTTAAAAAGCAAGTGGTTTAGATCTCAAACAAATAATGAAAAAGGTTACCGATTTAAACACTTATTATGTTTAATTGCAATATTCTTAAAACACATAGCCGATCGAAGATTGGAAAAAAGTAAGGAACAAACTTGATAAAACTGGATGAACAGGTAAAATTTTCAATCCGCTTAAAATCTAAAAAATACAATTTCGAAACTAGAAATAGCTCACGCTTTTTTGCGCCAATTCCACATTCGAATTTGGAGAGTGCTATTTACGTCACTTTCAGCAGATGAATTTCAATTGAACTTGAAAAGTGCATGTATGCCTAAAGGCATTTATAATTGCATCAATATGTATGAATGCACATCTGAAGTTATTAGAGACTTTTATGCACATTTTAAGACTTTTTCCTGAAGAAAAGAACCAAGAAATCAGCAAGACCCATTACGTTCATTACTCTTAAAAAGAAGTCTGTCGTAGAAATAAAAACAACAGCTCTTAGCGGAATTTGAGCCTAAATAGCAAAATTTTTGAAGTTTTTCATATGGTTGAAATACTTTTTCAAATGTACTTTTGAATGCCGATATCGACTAAAAGAGCTTTAAGATGAGACCTCACTTGGGTATCTACGAGGTTTTATACATTTACCAACGCCGGCCGACAAAAACCCAACCCACGCCTTACTTTTCACCCTCTCAGTCTATGAAACTCACCATCGCATCCAAATCAATAGCATGGAAGAACCCATGAGCCAAATTTTATTTATTTATTTAATTATATACACAGAGGCGAAGTTGCACATCGCATATACAAGCAAATATATGACCGATAACGCAACTAGGAAACAGTGAATGAGTAAAACTTTGAGTATACAAAATTTCTTCAGTGACGCACGCCAATCATGAGTCTACATTATTGCTATGTGACGCCAGCCAATTATGACGCATTAGCAGTCAATTTGAAAAAAAAAAGAAATTTACCAACTAACATGCTTCAATTTATAGAGCGGACGCATTTTAACTAGAATACGAAAAAGTTCATTAAAAATTTCAACCATGCCCAGGTTCGAAGCCTCTTATTTTGTTGCTGGTCTCCTTCCCTACCTCTACGCTACAGATCCATGATACCTTGAAGCTAAAGTGCTATTTGTAAAATATTAGTCTGTGTTAATATACTTAGCATTGGCTGTACTTAAGAGCTGGATCAAAACGAACACTTTCAAAATGAGCACATTTTGTCGCAACAATATTTGCGACTTAGGTTGGAAAAAAAAGGAATTTCATAATATAACACAAGCTATGCTTATTTAAATAAATGGTGAAATATTTATCACGACATATTTAAGAAAGTCATCACAACATATTTTAGAAGTCATCGCGACATATTTAAGAGTCTAAACTATATTCATCGATTTTTAAACAAGCTAATAATTTTCAAAGCAAGTTTCAAACCTCTCAAAAAAATTAAGCTGATTTTGTATCTTCAAATGATTCGATTATTACCAAACTTCCAAACAGCTTAACTTGTTCTCATAGCTTGAGTCGAGATGCAAAAAAAAATTGCAAAAAAAAAACAGGCCATAAAACTCTTGATTTATATGAATTAATTTCAATAGCTCAAAGCGATTCGCGAAAACTTTAAGACTTAACAAGCAAGCTGTTGAGCAATATAACTAATAATCACTTGTCTTTGCTTAAAAAAATTTATGACGAATCGCTTCAAACTGTTAAACTAACTTTAAACATTTCTATTAACAAGATTTATGACACAATTGCTTGCTTGAAAAAAAAAACAATTTTTTTGCTACTCGATTCTAATTTCACTAAAATTGAAATAGTTTATCGCTTTGGAAATTCTAACACACAAAACTTTAAGATAAAATTGGAATAGTTCAACAACTTTCAAAAAAATGCAACAAAACTCATACATGTTAAGATACTGATTATGAGCGCGGCGGTCTTATGCCTTTTTTGCATCGAAAATAAAAATAATTGAAGAAAAACCATTAGTCAAATATCTTGGAGTTGCAATCGATCCAACATAAAACTTTCATCAGGAAATTAAAAGAACACTACAAAAATGGCTGTGGTATTAAAACATTACAATCCATCATTACTCACTACCAATAAACACGAGATTGCTGCAAATGACATACCCTTGTCATGATCCGTCTACAAAATCTGGCTACTTTACTCAATGGAATAACGATTAATTTAATCAATTTACTTGATAAACAATTAAGTTGGGCTGAAAAAAGACAATTTGCCTGTAACCGTCTTTAATAAAAAAAAATATTGCTGATTAAGTTTTTCCTAGATTTGAAAATGATATGCCATTTCGCCAAAACTCGAAAACAATTGATACCAGTGTATATCGATTTAGATTATCCAAATCATCAAAAAAGTGAAAACTGTCGAAGGAAAAAACTTGTCTTTAAACAGCAACATAATACAATTTTTTTTTTGAAAAATCGTTTTTAAACAATTGATACCAGTGTATATCAATTTAGATTATCCAAATCATCAAAAAAGTGAAAACTGTCGAAGGAAAAATTCGTCTTTAAACAGCAACATAATACGATTTTTTTTTTGAAAAATCGTTTTTAGAGCTCAACCAAATTGAAACTACATACAAGACCAGAATATACTCGCTAACTTACATACTCTAACTTATAATACAATTGAATTCAGACTTAAACGTTTTTTCATAAGATTTAGCTTCAGAAAAAAAACAGTTGCAGCCAATGGGAGTATTACTTGGAACAAATTTACATTTATCGGACAAATATTAATGTTAGTTTTTTAATCTTTTTATTGCTCCGACCATTAAAAAAATGTATAACTTTGTATTCGAGTGCGTTTTAGTTATTTTTCGTTTTTTTGTTTTCCACGCAAAATCAAGTACTACAAATAATCATCGGAAGGGGTCCAGTGATACGCCAAAGTTTCCACAGAGTTTTTTCAGTATCGCGCAAAACTGGTTTAAAATTTTAAGAAGTAAAATTGGTTTATGGAGTTTTTTTGGCGCCATTTTCTGCACATTTGATTTAAAAAAAGATTTTTTTTTGGTTTTTCTTGTTAATTTTTTGCAAAAACTTTTGTTCAATTTGCCTATTTTACTACGACTGCCGAATTTGCTTAAATTATAGTTTTTTGTAGCTTTTTAAAGACTGGTCGAAATATTCAGCGCTACTTGCACAGTAACCGGCTACCCTTTGTGTTTAGGTGTTATTAGATTATTTAATTTCATTTTTTTAGCTATGTACGTTCACTTCATTTTTAATCTGATTTTTAATGAATAAAGAGTAAAGTTTTTTTAGGTTCCGTATTGGGTGCCATTTTTTCACAGCCAGCGGGTAAACGCCAAGCTCCTGAATTTACTATTTTTTTCATAGAGGCTAAACAGGAAAATTGAATTGCACATCACAAAAGCTCAATTTAGTTCAGGTTCAAGTATGCGAGAAATGTTCAGCTAACCTTAGCGACAATGAAGATAATGCTTTGAGCGTACAAATTGAATCTCGCTAATGCCATGATCGGGTAGAAAAGATAACGTTGATAAGAGACAAAAAAGCGAGCAGCAGCGTCGAAAACCATCACTCTTTTGTGGTAGAAACTGTATAGCGAATTAAAGTATTGAGGTGTCACGGCAAAAACAGGCAAATGCTGTATGTCCGGATCATGTTGAACAACGTTTGGGACACTATGATGAGTATTGTGCGAATCTTTCCACCACCCTATTGAGATTCCTGTCAAAAGAGGTCCAACCATTACACCGTACATGGTATCATATAACCTGTTGTGAGTAACACCATTATGTCCAGTATCGTGTCCAAGAAACGCGGTCTGTTGGAAAAAGGTTCCGAGAAAGAAGCCACCAAATAGCTGCATACAAATGCTTTCATTTTTGGACCCAATCACGTAGAGCGAAACACTCAGAGCTAATATCAGATATGATATCATTGTTTTGCAGAAGTACCAAGAGTAATTAGTTTTCATCAGTTCACCGTCGTAAACTTCATCTACAAGCGCATCATAATCTTCATCAAACTTAGTTTTCCGGTTTCCAGTAACGTTCCCGATTTTGTATTTGCTAAGATATAGGTAGCTACTTTTTGGGTGACTCGTCCGGAAAACTAAAGACGCATCGCGACCAGAAAGATTGCGAATCACATCTGGCCCTCCAGGATGTCTAGGTAGCCAATCTGTAACTTTATAGACGGCTGATTCGATAATAAGATACACGTTCTTTTTGTCGCTTTCAGCCAATTGCGTTATTTCAGCGAACGTGAAAGATTGCAACTTGTCTTCTGCCTTCTCACCGAGACACATTTTTGTTGACCATTCAAAGTCACCTTTAAAATAATTATTGCAGAAATTATCGAATAAGATCAAAATGTGATCTTGAAGAAAAATAAAACATTTCAATAACTATACAACATGGCCGTTGCATTAATACGGTAACAGCGTAGAAATAGATTAGGTTTACATTTATTAAACTTGGTTAAGCTGGGTTATATCATAAAATGAGATGAACATATTGCATCTTATAAAAGTCAAAAATTACACTTAAGAAGTAAACGTTTACAATTTGAAACACTGTAAAACCTTAAGAGCATTGGGAATTATGAACTTAAAATTACAAGTCCGTCAGTTAAAACAGAAATCACGCCATGTAGTTGTATGCGTACATATAGGATTAGATTACCTCTCACTAGTGTAACATTTCTCTGAATTTTCTCAAACATTGATGTTGTGTTGTCAAGTTTTTGTAAATCAAACGGCAAAAAATTCCATTTTTTGACGTCAGACGCAGAAAAAAATTCGTAGAGAATCAGTTGAAAAAAATTCGTAGAGAAGCAGTTGAACAAAATAAAAATTCAGTTGTTTGTTTGTTTGTTCATTTTTCTATAATGATCTGTTGTGAGTACCATGGTTCAATGCTCGCACCATGGTGGAGGAGATCCATTTATCCGTAACTCATCTGCGTCTAATTTCTATTAGCGGAATGCGTCAATTAAATCTTGGACTGATCAGGCTCGTCAAATTAGGTCACTTCTGCCACCTCAACATGTGCCCGTCGGTCAAATGAAAGAAGATTAGTTCGTTTTGGTTCGAATTGAACTTTTCAAAGAAGAAAAACCTCAAAGCGACAAACACAGATATGTAACAGTCGCCTACTTAAGTCACATATGAGGTTAAAGAAAAATAGGCCCTAAACCATTGGCTCAAGAGTTAGGGACACTATCTCATGTGTTTTTCTACCTCAAGCGGTCGGAGCCAATTCGGTTCACTTGCGACATGAGACTAAAACCTTTGTTACAGCTTAAAGGCCACTACCAAAATACCCCCACTCTAGAAAATAAGAACGTCCCCATACTTAGGTCTCAAACTACCTAAAACACGCGAACGCCGCTAAAAACAGGGTCGGATCCTTACGTATAGTTACTTTTTATTAGAGTGGACCTTTGATCAATTTCAGATGGATCAACCTAAAAACTCTCCCTAACTTAACATAACAATATAAAACACACTCAAGAAATTTAAATTGGGTACTCACATACCAGCACGATCTCTAGAACTGAGTAACTAAATTAATAAGTAACTCTAGCATAAATGGGGTAACCAAGTTTAACTCAAGGAGTTTTGAATAAGTCAGTTATAACTCAGGAGACAAGTTTTGGTTCTGGACCATTGCGAGACTTCGGTTGTCCAGCTTTCCACCGAAGGTTCAGTCTGGTCCACTTTTGATATATCTCTTCTTTACTCGCGAACACTCTGTCTTCTGTGTCGAATAAGACAGCTCTACTTTCATGCGACGGTACGAGCACAGGTTGGATAGGGCCGTACAAACGCTGAATAAATACATCGGCAAAATTTTATGAATAAATCATGTCCATTTAAATGCATTCCGAGAATTTTCAATTAAAATCCACCCTTCTCAATTATAGCACAGATAGAATTGTCTATGTTGGATGTATTTTTGAGTTTTTGTGACATTCGACCAGAATGGCCAAAATGCAGTCTCTGCAGAATTCAGGATTTTTAGCAGTGAACCTTCCGAATTGGCGATTTAGAACGGATAAGGACGTTATTTGAATGATTGGCCAAACGGTGAAGGCTAGAAGATTCTGGAATTCTAAATTTTAAATTTTCGAAGTGATGACGTAACATTTCTGAGAAATGTTAAAACGGCCATTTTGGCTAAAATAGCAGAAAGAAACAGAACAACTTTATCTGCGATTACGAACAGTACGAAAATCGAGACTAAAAAACAACAACGAACTACCGAGCAGCAGAGGACGTTCCGAGTTGCAACTATTGTGCTGTTACAATAGTTGCAAGGCCGTTGCGAACAACGGTGAAGGGTAGAAGCCAGCCCTCCGAGTTAGCGTGAACCTGAGGTTAAGGAGCTTGATTCGCCGGATTCAAGAATCCGGAAGGGTCTCGGGACGGGAACTTTTATGAACTTGTATTGAATTTTAGCATCCTGTCATGTCCTGACTTGAATTTAACTGATATTTTGATTAGTTTTGACAAGGATGAGGTGCTAGGAGTTGGGGGAAAGGGTTGATCCATCTTCGATGGAGATGATGATTTTTATCTACTGAACAAAAACAATAGTAATATGATAAGTAGTAGCCCTGTTTTTAGGAGTGACCTCGTGGTCTGGGGATACAGAGACCCAGCCATGAGCTCACTAACTTTGCATGTAATTCAGTTAATTTGAGCGTTCTGGTCGAAGCCGGAGAACAGTAACGTTTTTGTCAGCCTGATGTAAGAAAGACCACCGAAAAGTACTGGCTTGGTAGAGACGGTGAAAAACATGCAAAGCTCTGTTTAGACGCTAGCCAGTCGTCTTAAGACTTAGTTTTGTTATCCGTCGATATGTATCTTCCGGGCGAATGTTACATGTATGTTTTTATGGCGCTCCTGGGTGTTATTCTTTTTTAACATCATGACCGGCAGAACCGTTAACGAGCACTCCGCGCCGAGCGGATGCTCACATTAACGCCCTTAATAGGCCTAAACTGCCGGGGCGGAAGGGTAGTTCGGAACGCGGAAGCCTTCCGGATTACCGTGAATAGTTTTTTAACCTAGTTAAGACCAAAAATTCACGAACCAGGAAGGGTGGGGGGAATCATGAACCCCTCATCCCCTGAGTGGTTTGTGACCAAAAACACTTAAAGATATAAGCAAAACCAAACAAAAAGTAGTATAGTACCCAAGAAAAACAAAAAACATAAAAAATAACCGAAAAAACCAAAAACAGTAAAAAAGTAAAAAATCAGTAGAAATCATCCCCCCAGACAAGATGTGATTCAAACCCCCCGTTTGTTGTTGATAGATATATTGTTGTTACAGGCATTTATATCAGTCAGGATCGTTACGATCAATTTTGTAGCCCGTTTGTGAGGCTTGTACTGTAGGGTTATTTGAGCGTTTAAGCACGTTAATGATAAATTGCGCTCAATCCGGAAGGGTCAGCTGATTTGCGCTCAATTCGGAAGGGTCTTGGGTGAAGACCGACCCGGCAGGCAGTTCAAGGAGCAACAAGAAGGGGCTCAACGACAACAACAATCGACTGTTGGGTATCGTTAACAAGTTTTGTATCCCTTTTGGTACAAAAAGTAAGATAGTAATCTGTGGGGGGCTCGACAGTGCTGCACTGTAGTGACCCTTCACCGAACTGCGAATATCCGAGTTAAGCACCTTAATTCGGATAATAAACAAACCCGGAGGGGTATATTATTACTAATATTATTATTTATATAGCCTATATTAATAGTCTTATATCGATTTTCAGTGAAAAACAACGAAAACAGACCGGTTTTTAGGGTCAAAATAGCGATATTTTGATCCCCCCACAAGTCGCGATTTTTGAGATATCGATATTTTTTGAAACGGAAAAAAGCGCTAAGTTAGTGTGTTACATCGTACTGCACTACTGTAATAGGTAGAACCGGTTAACTTTAGTTCGGAAGTGGTTGGAACTAGTTTGGTACCAAAAACCAAATTTTCCCAATTTTTGATAGTAAGGAACACTAAAAATTTAGAAAATTTTTTGAAATTTTTGAGGTAGGACAGTAAAAATAGTTGTTCGGACAACGTCCACTAGTGAATCTACAAGTCTTAAAATCCGCTACCCGAAAGCCTTCCGGGTTGCAGAGAAATCGAACATAACGTGTTTGATTTGGTGGATTCATCAATCCGGAGGGGTCCAGGTAGCATAGTTTTTCGCAAATTTTTTCTACAATAGCGTTTTAGATCGGGTCTTTTGCATTGAACTAGAAGAGTATAGGCCTTCTGAGCTCAGATCAATAGTTTTTAGGTCGAAAGGACCAGATTTGCGGAAAAAGTTAGGCGGAACCTATAAGAGAGAAAATTTTTGAGTTTGGAAGAAAGACGTTTTAGTTAATAACTTTGGAACTACTGAGCATATTGAGTTGATCTTGGTACCAATAGATCAGAAATTAGCTGAACTTACTAGTAGGAAAGAGAATTACTCGAAAAAGCCAGCGAGAAAATTTTTTGAGATTGTTTTTAGCAAATTACACAAATCCGGAGGGGTACACCCTTCACGTTTTATAAATTTTTCTGAAAAACCCTTATACCCCTACCAAAAGTTGATAGCGATTGAACTAAGTAACTTAGGACAGTTCTAGACAAAAAGGGAGGGCGGAAGGCACAAGACAACCATAATAGAGTCGAAATTAGGCAAGTGATAAGACCCTTCACCGTTAGTGTGAATTGTCAAATAAGTGCCTTAACTTCAATCCGGAGGGGTCTAGGAAAGGACCCTATACCCTTCCCAGTTAATTCAAACAGCATAATAGCAACGCAGAACGTATCCGGAGGGGTATAAGCTGAAATTAAGAAAACTACAAAAAGCTACTTTGACAGAGCTAAGGGCTCCGAATCCGAAGGGGTCGAAATTTTTCAAAGTCAGAGGGGTCCGAATCCGGAGGGGTCTACTTTCCACAAAACCGGAGGGGTCCGAATCCGGAGGGGTCTTATAGTTGCTAATTCGGAGGGGTCCAAATCCGGAGGGGTCTACTATTAACTAACTCGGAGGGGTCCCAATCCGGAGGGGTCTATATTCTGACAGTCCGGAAGGGTCCTATTTGTCCCAATCCGGAGGGGTCTATATTCTGACAGTCCGGAAGGGTCCTATTTGTGCCAATCCGGAGGGGTATTATTTTATTAAGGACTTAGGTAAACGAAAGAAAGACTAAAAAGCGAGAGGTATTAGGTTATTAATACACAGGCTAGGTATCAGTGACTGCACTGGTAACTTGCCTTTCAGAAAGAACCAGACTAATACAAAACAGGTCCGAACTCGGATATTCGCGACACTAAGTCTAAATTAAAAA